GCAGAATTGCTTACTCCTGCTTTAACACCAATCAGTAGTGCAGTTTTCTTCATGCTACATGTTCTCAGGCAGGAAGTTGTGACTCTTGGGGGCTGCAAAGAGGTTTCAGGGGCATCATAATTACCATCTGTTTCTTTATGATTAGATGGGTAAGTGCCCTTTAATTTTTCTGTTGTTATGTAGGGTCACAGTATAGAAAAGTTTGAGTAGTAGTGCTTTGTTTCTAATTATCCATCTATCCATCATCTACTCATATGGCTTTATTGCAGTAATATCTGAGCTCATTTAGTCAATAAGATAATCACTGGAGAGACTGATCCACAAGTCTTCTGTCACACTAGATCAATGAAGCAGATCACAGTTTAACAGATCTGCTTTTACTCCAGTCCCTCTCTCTGTGTCATATTTGGCTTTCTCAGAGCAGATTATTCTACATTGTTTGGGTTTAAGTTTATGCGCATTCCTTCATCTAATTGAGAAAAGTAAATCAGATCTTTTGGAAGCAAAAAAAAAGCATATATTAAATGTCATTGATTCTTAGTGTGCCTTTAATTAAGAGACAACTTCAGAATAATGGTAGCAATTACTTCACCTACATGGTCTGTCTGAGCTCGCTGAACTAGAGCTGTTATTGAAAGACGAATGTTACTAGGCCCTTACCTATAACGGTATGAGATAATGTCCTGTTGCTGGCATCATGACCGTTCTTATATAGTAAGGTGTGAATTAATTCTTCAGTGGAAGGGCATACTACATGGCCAGGTTTTAGAACTAAAAAGGGACAAACCCATGCCTTGTGTTTCTTCTGCTGTATGAGTTGGAATGTTGTTGCAGTATTCATGGTCAAAGAAATGTTTGAGAGAGAATGATTTTTGTGATATCTTTTATTGGACAAGTTGTATATTTGGGAGAGCTCTGACCTTCCTCAAGTCTGAGCCAGAGAAGAAAATGAAAGCTGAGCTACATATCAGAGAACAGAGTCCAGGCATATTCAAACAGTCCATTTGGAGGGATGCAGGAGGGCTGTGAAGTATGAATGATGAGGTGCTATCAGGAGCCATTATAAGATAAAAAAAGGTGCAGTAGAACATGCAATCTAGTCAGTAGCAGAGCAAAACCAGTCAAGAAGGGGGCAGCTACTACCTGTGAAGTTCAAGGAACTTATTGGCAGTATTTGCTAAGTTGTAATGAGCCATGAATCCATTGACTGTTATAAGTTCAGATTTTTATTGCCTTGTAGAGTTATAAATTTCTGTTCCCAGGTCTGTCTTCTGGAGGTGTTTTGTAAATCCCTTTAAGCATGAGAATTGTGAGATTGGAGAGGGAGCATGTATTCTGTGAAAACTGTGCTTCTCTCAGTGTCTGGGTATCTTTGTCCTTTATATAGGGTCTTCATAAAGTCCTTGTACATTTTTAAACTTTAATAACTAAGGTTGTAGGTATTATAGAAACAATCTGTAAATGGCATTTTAAAAGCAAATTAATTAGAGTTTTTGGACAACTAGAGTACACAATGCTAGACTTCAACATAACCACCATCCATCATGATACACTGCTCAATCTGATCTTCCAACTCCTTGAAAACATTTCCCAGTTGCTCTTGAGTTACTACACTAATTGCATTGGTGATCCTAGCCCTAAGTTCCATCAAAGAACATGGTTTTGACAAGTAAACTACACTTTTAACATGTCCCCATGAAAAGAAGTCCAACGGCGACAGGTCAGGTGAACGAGGTGGCCAAGCAATTGGTCCACATCTGCCTATCCTCTTCTCTGGGAAAAATGTCATTTAGGAACTGTCGTGCATTCAGAGCATAGTGGCATGGAGCTCCATCTTATTTAAGAATAAATTTAATAGATTTAATAGATTTCATAGATTTTTAGGGTCGGAAGGGACCTTGGTAGATCATTGAGTCCGACCCCCTGCCCTGGGCAGGAAATAGCGCTGGGGTCAAATGACCCCAGCCTGGTGCTTGTCCAGTCTCCTCTTAAAGACCTCCAAGATATGGGAGAGCACCACCTCCCCTGGAAGCCCATTCTGGATTCTAGTCAGTCTTACCATAAAGAAGTTCTTCCTGATGTCTAATCTAAATTTGTTATTACTTATGAAGTCTAGCATTGTGTACTCTAGTTATCCTAAAACTTTAATAAATTTGCTTTTAAATGCCATTTACAGATTGTTTCTATCATACCTACAACCTAAGATATTAACGTATTCATGTTTAAAAGTGCACACAGACTTTATGAAGATCCTGTATTTTTTCTGTGAGAGAGTTCATTTTGATGCATAGTTCCTGTCTAGTTTCACTCGCATGGTTTCCATGAGGAACTCTGGTAGACTGGATGAGACATACCATGTTCTGTGATGTACATGTGTGGAATCCGTGGAATTTTTTGATTTTGTCGCAAGGGGCATTCACTGTTGCAAAGCTGGAGATGTGTTAACAGGTTTTGCATTTATTGTTGAGGCCTGGTTCTGTCCCATCTGGAGTCTGTTGATTGGAGGGGAGCTTGGCCCAAGTTTGGGTGTTGTTTAAAGGCCCAGAGCAGGGGATTTGGGAATATTTCCCTCCAATCTATTTTTTTATTAAAGAATGTAGTTGTTTGATGATCCTTCTTCCAGGTTCCAGTATGTAATGGTATGTAACAACCAGGGAAGTGTGATTGGTGAGAGTTTTGTTTTTGTATTGTGGTAGGTTATTGCAAGGTATTTGTGTGGCTCATTCAAATACACAATCTATGGTGTTTGCTGGAGAGTCCTTGCTGGGTAAAAGTATCTTTCAGGTTGGAAGGTCATTGCAACCTGAAAGACGGTCACTATCTTAGAAGGGCATTGTGGTGTACATTAGGCAGACAAAGAGACAGTACTATAAAAGTAGAATGGATAAAGTCTTAAGGCCAAGTGGCATGCCTATATCAGCATTCTGAAAGTTAGGTGATGAACTAAGAGAACCTATCATTAATTTTCTATTTCTATCTATTAGCATTCATTTCACCCTCATCCTTTTTAAATGGAAGCTTACACATGGTTTTTCTCTTCACATACACACACATCATACTTTAAGACTAACATTTTATACTTGAATGCCTACAGTTCCACACCTATATCTGTTATACTTTCTCTTCTCACTAGTACTGAACACTTGCAGTTCCTTCTGTTGTCACAACTTAAATGTTGCAGAAAGTAGATACGTGCTCTCGGGGCTGCTCAATACGCACAGTGTCTGTTGTTTAAATCTATACGCCAGTACAGTATGTTTGTTTGATTACATGGGTAGGTTCAATTATCTCATGGAATACCATGAATCTTCTTTTAGGCATCCCAGGGAGATAATTTGGACTTAATGAAGATCTATAGTAATCAGATAATTAGTATCGATTGCTCTTTAGACATCTTGATGAGGTAATTAGGGTGCACTGGAAAGAAGCTGGAACTGATTGATTGGCAAAATCTTAATCTAAAAGGTTTCTAATTATGTTTCTTTTCTTCTAATGGGTAATGAACAAACATCATTTTAGCTTTAGAATTTGTCAGGTGCCAGGTTCGTTGGGGACATTGGCTTTCTCTATTATGTTAACTAGATACTGAACGTGTTCAACAGTAGCTCATTAGGCCTCACTGTTGATGTGGAAGCAACTTCAGTTTCTCTGGGCTTTACTTTCTGTTCTTAATTTCCATAGTCTCTGTCTGGCACATGGAACTGCATGTGTGTGCGTATGTCTCTGCATGCATGAAGTATTTTGTATGTATGGTAATGATTATGCCTATATGTGATTACCTTTCTGGCTGTGTTTATATAGGAAAAGAACATAAATACTTTTGTCTTTCATGCATGCTTCAGTTGGCCTAACTATCATTGTGGTAATATGCAGAGATGATGAGGAGATTCACTATCCACCGTACATGTTAATAGTCCTAGACATATATTATACTTTTCTGTAGCAGAGCAATGGCCTTTTTCAGTCTCATCAGTCACTGTATGACCTGCACTTTCATGCTTAAGTACATCCTTCTCTAGCACTGCTCTCTCTCATGTTTTGCATTGTTTTCAGAAGTATTTTGTTTGCAAAATAGCCCTCTGAAGGTGTAACATTTTTATTGCGTATCCTGCTTCATAGTATGTTTTAAAATGGGCCAAAATCTGATTGGCCAGTAGTACTTATCTGATATGAGCTAATGGGATCACATCTTATATAGAGGCTCTTTAAGGGAAAATATAAAAGATGCTATTAAAAGGCCTTTCAGGGAGGCAAACTGTCCAAGGTGACACTTGATCAATATGCAAGGGCTTCTTCTATGCACAGGCTTTGAATCTCACAGCAATTAAGCAAGCCTCATATGGGACCCAGCACATCATGTAATGCTGCATTTTCCAAATGGAAATATACATATGTGAAGTTCTGCTGGCTAATGCAAGCCATATTTGTGCTCTTGGAATCCCAATGTATTAGTATTAGGAGTGCTGTGTACGATTTTGCTTCGGCAGCCTAGTACAAATGAGGTTTCTATAATTATGTATGTGCATATTGGGCGCATCTACATGAGACAGTACTGTGTAGTGGTTTCTGTGCATTTATTTAGTACTTGTATAATCAAGTACTAAATAAATGTGCAGTAACTGGAGTTACTGTGCAGTAGTTCCAGCAAATGTCTTTTAGTGACACTACTGCACAGTAGCCTAATAATACTGTGCAATAGTGCATTAACATTGTGCTACGACGTGCTACTGCACAGTATTTTTCAGCTACTGCACAGTCATTGTCTCGTGTAGATGTGCTCACTGAGATGTTTTTCTTTCCAGTAGATAAGTAGGTAGGTAGACAGCCAGACAAGACAGATAGATAGGTCAGTTGGTTGATCTGGGTGCCTGTATTCCCTGTTATACAGACTGTATCTGTAGTAGTTAATCTTCCAGAAGCAGAAGTACAGCATGACATTTTATAACACATTTGTAAATAATGTCTCTGATCACAAGGTGACTACTTTCTGTCTATAACAGGAAGTTCTACAGCTGGAGAGGCAGATGGGAGGACAGTTACTGGAAGAACCAAAGGCTCTGCATTTTAAGGGAAGCACCCACAACCTCCGTTTGTCTATTCATGATATCGCTCACTCTCTCTGGAAGAGCAAATTGCTTGCTAAATACCAGGTAAGAATTACAGATTGTTTAAACAGTGATGGACAAGCATGGGCCACATTAGAAGGGCCTGAAGTCATACAGTAGTACACAAATGTACACTATTTTTTTTTTAAAGTACACACCATCGGTTTAGGTTTCTGCCCTCTGATATTCCTGCCTATACAGTCTTCTCTATTGAATACCAGTCCTCTCCATTGTATTATGCATTGTCTAGTTTTAATTTCTTTAATCAGTCCAATGGAGTAGAATATTCAGGTTCTATTAACCATCTTCATTATTGCTAAACTGAGCAATAGCAGCCCAGAATGTGTTTGTTTTTTAAATGAAAATCAAAATTTCATCTTAACACACTGGGAAAGAAATTTTGGTCAGTGTGATTAGAAAATTAGAAAATCCACTACAGGTAGGACTATTCAATGCAAAGAGAGTGGGAATTAGAATTGAGTATTTGTGCACAGGGGCTGCTACTGCCAAAATATATGCACCCTTCTGGCTGTTTCTAGAATAGGGCCCACTCTTGGCAAGTGAAGGTTTCATGGAGATATTAGGGTGACCAGGCCTTTTGTACTCCATTAGGGTTTGGTCTTAAGAAAGGATAAAACACTTATGCACAAACACACACATCTCTTTGTAAAGTTTGAGAGAGAACAGTGGAACACCCTTGGATATATTAAGGATTTTCCTCACTGAAGGATCAAGTAAAGATTAAATTCTTTTTTTCCTCTCCATCTCATCCTTCACTTGCTAGGGCTCCAGTGCAATGCACACTTGTTCATGAAGACTGTAGCAGGGCACTAAGACATGCCTGCTCCTTTAAGACTGAAGCAGCCTGGCATGGGAGGTCTGCAGGCTAAGCAGAGCTCCATAGCTGCGGGTCACTGGGGGTAACAGCCTAAGGGGGTAATTGGGAAGCACCTACAAGTGTCACATGACCAGAAGGAGGCAGGATTTGGGGGTATATACATCCAGGGCTGGAGCTTGCAGGAAGACTATCTGGCAACTGCCAGGGAAGGAGCTCCTGCATGAGGAAGCTACCTGAGACCTGGTGCTGCTTGCTTTGCTACTGAATGCTGCAAGACTTTAGGAGCCTCCCAGGTACTTAGGCTGGGGAGCATGCTGTACTAAGGATTGAAGTTTGTCCCCTTAAGGGGACACAGCATGGTTGTCACTGATAATGTTTAAGTTATAGCCTAGGGCTTATGCTTTTGTTTATGTTTGCACCGGAGAACCGGGATGAGGCTATAAGGGGAGGTTTGGAGGCCTCATTAGTGCCTGCAGAAAGGGTCATATGATTTAGGTAAAGTCCAGTGTTAGGCACAGAGAGAGAGAGAGAGGCACCAGGAGGGCACAGCTACTGGGGTGCAGAGCCCGGCACCAGAAGGGTACAGAAGTGAAAGATAGTAGTATAACACCTGCGAGTTGGGACATGATATAGAGGCAATTGGAGTCGTGTATTACACTCTTGGTATTAGGGCATAAAAGAGTAGCCTCCTGCCTAGAAACAACTTCTTAATTACATCAAAAGGTGTGGCAGGAGAGACAGGTGAGTGGATTGCCCTGGCCAGGCGGGCAGGCCAGTGGAGTAATTGGCCTCAGGACATCACCCTGTCACAGAATGTTTAGAATAGTGCTAGGATGTAGGTGATCATCCAGAATGGCAGAGGTAAGTTCTTCTTTTTCCTGCACAGAAGTTCCTTACAAGACTCATGAGTCCATTTGCTGAATTCACACTTTCTGATGCTTTCTGAGAGCTGAGCTGAAAACCTGATGAGATATGCCATGACTGTTGATGAGCATATTTAAACTGTTCCTTACTTTTCCCTTTTCCTCTTGCAGGAAATTCCCTTTTACCACATCTGGAGTGGGTGTCAAAGAAACCTACACTGTACCTTTACTCTGGAAAGGTTCAGCCTGAGCACGGTGGAGCTTGTTTGTAAACTCTGTGTACGGCAGGTTGAAGGAGAAGGACAGATCTTCCAGCTCAACTGTACGGTATCAGAGGTAAAGATCCAGCTATCTCCACACTAAGCAATGAGGGAAAAGGAGGTGACACACATCTTGACATATCCACATACCCAGTTATTCTTGCTTGGCACATCCTTTAATTTTCTTTCTTTCTTGATGCTGGGAGGCTATAGGCTTTCCAATCTTTCTCCTTCCTAAGGAGAGGTGAAGGTACTTTTCTTTCTCATTCAAGTTAGGTAAAAGGATAGATTTAACTGTCGTCTTTTCTCTTCCCTTACGGCTCTCTTTACTGCTTTGTTGGCTTTTCTTTTCACACTCTTTTATGGAAGATAACACCCTTCCTTTAAAAGAGTCAAGAAAGCAATGATGGAAACGTGCCTTGTCTTTTTCCTTTCTGTGTGTGGTTTCTTCCTTCACCTGCTCACGTGGAGAAGATCTACCTCATGAAGCATACAGTGTCCAGGTCCTCCAGCAATCTACTCATTGCCCATGTCTACACTTGTAATTAACGCACATTAAGGTTACTGTGCAGTACTGTTCCTTAAGGTGCATTAACATATGGCCAGGAATGCATCTACACCTGCTCCAGATGGGAGCAGTTCAGTGCAGGGCTGCTGCAGCCCTGTCTGGGCCTCTGCAGCAGCCAGGGGGAACTTCAGACCCCCTTGGGTACCAGCCCCAGGCTGGCAGGGGGGACGGGTGTCAGGTTTTGGCTTCAGCATGGGGGGACCTGTGTCACTTCTGGGGTAACTCCCTGCCAGCCCCTCAGCACGGGGCAAGTGGGGAACTGTCCCACTTGTGGGGCAGCTCCCTTGTGAGCCCTGTGCCAAGCTGGGATTGTCTGGCTTGGCACAGGGCTAGGGGGGAATTCTACTTGTGGAGAAATTCCCCCTGCCCCTGCTCCCTTCTGTCTGGGCTGACTGGTACTGCACAGTTAATCTAGAACTTTTTTGGGGGTTGGTATTAGGCCTAATTTACTGCACAGTAAATGCTGCATACATGTAGTCGCTGACACTTTAGATGCACATGTAGATGTACCCACTCAGCCTAAATATGCTGTGTCAATACAAACCAATCTGTTCTGACCCTACAATAACTGCTATGAAATCAGTAATATCAGATATTAGATCTTCAATAAGCTTGCCTTCCATCTGTTACTGCCAGGCATAAGTAACTAGTATCTGTGAAAATACTTGGTTTTAACTAAGGTTTTGCAATTTCAACAATGACAACAATTTGGTCAAAATAATTCTGAACACCTTAATTTAGGACTTGAAGGATTGCACTACCCTAGAAGA